CGTTGTCCCTGGGGATGCTGAACCGGCCCTGCACCGACGGCGCGTAGCCGGTCCAACTCCCATCCTTCTTGATACTGGCGACGTATTCCAGCCCCTTCCCGGGGCTCTGGCGCACCCAGTACATCCCGTAGTCACTGAAGGTGAAGCCGGAGGCGCAGCAGAGGAGCCGCAGGGACTCCCCCGGGGCCTTGAGGTGCCCCAAAGTCTCCACCAGGGTCACGGCCCTCCCAGGTGGGTCTTGCTCCCCCTGGGTCATCCCAATATTCCATTTTTTTCCTCCTCGCAGGGCTGCGGGCGGCCGTGACCCTGGTGGAGTCTGGGGGTGACCTCAAGGCCCCGGGGGAGTCCCTGCGACTCCTCTGCCGCGCCTCCGGCTTCACCTTCACAAAGTACCACATGGGCTGGGTGCGCCAGAGCCCCGGGAAGGGGCTGGAATGGGTCGCCAGTATCAGGAACGATGGTTCCAGCACCTTCTACGCGCCGTCGGTGCAGGGCCGGTTCACCCTCACCAGGGAGAACGGGCAGAGCTCGGTGACGCTGCAGATGAACAACCTCAGGGACAAGGATTCCGACACCTATTTCTGCGCCAAATATGCTGGTGCTGGTGCTGGTTGGAATGGTGTTGATGGTATCGATGCCCTTGGTGGCGTCCCCAAATCTTGATCAGTGGCTCCAAATTTCAACCATTGACCCTGAATCTTGACCCTTAACCCCAAACTCAACCATTGACCCAAATCTCAACCATTGACCCAAATAACAACTGTTGGCCCCAACCCTCAACCATTGACCCCAAATCTCTGCCCTCTGCCCCAAATCTCGACCCTTTCCCAAAAGCCTTGGGCAATGCTGGGTTTGGGCCAATGCTTCGGGTCAAGGGTTGAGGTTTGGCACCAATGGTCGACATTGCAGGGAATGGCCCAGGTTTGGGGGGAAGCTGGGGCTGGGGCCACCATTGCAACAATTGGCACCACCAGGACCAGCATATTTGGCGCAGAAATAGGTGTCGGAATCCTCGTCCCTGAGGTTGTTCA